TCGTCATCCCTTGGGGCACTCCGGTGAACAAACCTTCTCCCAGATGCTGGTGGTCACCCCTGATAAACTTGTAGGTGGCCATCAGATCACCCCTGAGCCTGCGCTTTTCCAGGCTAAAGAGCCCCAGGGCTCTCAGCTTGTCATCGTAGGGTCTGCTTCCCTGACCTCTGAGCATGCGCGTGGCTCTTCTCTGGACTCTCTCAAGCTTCTCCACATCCTTTTTGAATTGTGGAGCCCAAAACTGGACGCAGTACTCCAGCTGCGGCTCACCAAGGTCGAGTAGAAGGGGAGAATGACGCCTCGGGGTTTGCTTAAGGGACGAAAGTAGATCCGGGGAACTACAGGCCCATCAGCCTGACCTCCATCCCCGGGAAGATCTTGGAAAAAATCATTAAAGAAACCATTCTTCAGAAACTGCCCGATGGCAACATCCTGAGGGATAGCCAGCATGGGTTTGTTGCAGGTAGGTCTTGCCTGACCAATCTCATCTCCTTCTACAACCAAGTGACCTATCACCTGGACAAGGGAGAAGAGATTGATGTAATATATCTTGACTTCAAAAAAGCCTTATCACAATCTGCTGGCTGGGGAACTGGCTTTGAGGTTGGACCCAGAGAGTGGTAGTTGATGGAAGTCAATCATTGTGGTGCGCCGTGACCAGTGGGGTCCCTCAAGGCTCTGTCCTTGGGCCTATTCTTTTCAACATCTTCATTAATGTTGTGGACACTGGTGTCAGGAGCGGATTGGCCAAGTTCACTGATGACACCAAACTTTGGGGAAAAGCGTCCACACCCGAGGACAGGATGGTGATCCAGGCCGCCCTTGACAGGCTTGGAAAATGGGTGGATGAAAACCTGATGGCCTTCAACTCTGAAAAATGCAAGGTACTCCACCTTGGGAAGAAAAACCCACAGCATGCTTTTAGGCTTGGCAGTGCTATGCTTGCTAGTACCACGGCCGAAAGGGACCCAAGATGAATATTGACCACAAGATGAATATGAGCCACCAATGTGATGTTGCAGCTGGCAAAGCGAGCAAAACTCTGGCTTGCATCCACAGATGCTTCTCAAGCAAATCCCAGGATGTCATCCTCCCTCTGTACTTGGCCTTGGTGAGGCCACAGCTGGAGTAGTGCATCCAGTTCTCAGCTCCACAATTTAAAAAGGATGTAGCTTGAGACAGTCCAGAGGAGAGCCACACACATGATCAGAGGGCAGGAAAACAGCCCTTATGACAACAGGCTGAGAGCCATGGGACTCTTCAGCCTGGAAAAGCACAGGCTCAGGGGGGACCTGGTGGCTGCCTATAAGTATATAAGGGTGTACATCAGGATCTGGGGGAACGCCTGTTCATCAGAGCGCCCCAAGGGATGACAAGGTCAAACGGTCACAAACTCCTCCAAGACCATTTCAGGTTGGACATAAGGAAAAACTTTACAGTCCGAGCCCCCAAGGCCTGGAACAGACTGCCGCCCGAGGCGGTGCAAGCACCTCCTCTGGACTCCTTTAAGAGTCAATTGGATGTTTATCTTGCTGGGATCCTGTGACCCCAGCTGACTTCCTGCCCCTGGGGCAGGGGGCTGGACTCGATAATCTTCTGAGGTCCCTTCAGCAAATGTCTATGAAAATCCTTCCCACAGGCCCCGGAGATGGGATGCTGTTGACAGTGCTGCACGTGAGTGCAGGGAGAGCTCGAGCCCAGCTGGGTGAGGCCTCTCCTGGGGACACGGTGGCGGCTGCACTGGAGCCCGGGGCAGCCGTGCCCCTCCCCTGCACAGCCCTGGGGCAGCCCAAGGTGATGCTGGAGGAGCAGGAGCCAGTGGGTCTCCAGGCAGGAGTGGAGGGGGCAAGACAAGTCCCTTGTGTTATCCAGGGTGGGATGGGGGGCGTCCCCGAGGTGGTCAGCACCACAGGCAGAAAAGCAGCAGCTGCAGGAGGAGCCGGTCCAATGCCGGGAAATCGGGGGGCAGGAGGTGAATCAGGCCATGCAGCCTCCTTCTGAGCCTGAGATTCCCCCAGAGACCCCCCTGCCGGCACCGGGGCACGACCTCCCCGCCCCGCACGCCTGGCGCCAGCGCTTCCGCGGCCTCCGCTACCGGGAAGGCGCGGGGCCGCGGGAGGGGGGCGGC